GCGGCGATTTTGACCTTGCAATGCCAAATCGAAATGATGTCCTTTACTGTTAGGATTAATAGCCACTAAGGACCAATAATCCGACTCGTGTGCTTCCTGACCGACTTAGTCGGTTGGTTCACAAAATGGCGCTTGAAATCATAGTTTCGCCCGAATGTTGTTGTACCCACTGATTGAATACTCATAACCCACTGTACTGTTGTACGGTTTTATACAATTTTCAAATTTAAAAACAATTAATCCTACTAACAAATTAACATTTTTTTACAACGACCCTACTAATCCAACACCAAATAACTTTAAGAGACGTGACGGTACATTTAACAACTATGCACAAATTAAAAATCTAACATGTTTTGTTACAAACGGTTACACTCTAGCTAATAAATTATCACACTAGAGCTTCATGTTTGATAGCATTTCCAACCAACTCAGTTGTTTATTATTTTTGACATTTCGATGTGCGGTTATTCCAGTTATAAACAGGGATGGTAAATCATTTACATTCATTTCGTGCATTCATTTATATTCATTTGCCTCTAAATTTTTTCATCATCAGAATACCGTAAAATAATGTATGAAGTTTTTTTTTTTTTTCTATTAATTTATTTGATAAGGCTCAACCGAATTAACTTTACAGAGCCGAGGATTCTTGTTCACTATACAATACATCTTAAAACTATAGTCAAAAGGTACAACACAATAAACATTTTATCTTCCGCTATCCAATAAGCCTCCTCCACGAGAACGGGAGCCGCTTCCAGTGGTTTACTTGTATGGCAGAGCCAACGAGGGTCAGAGCACTTCCATTGCAGCAATGGACGCAAAACGTGGTCAGCACTCACACATTCATCACGAAACGGTTGTTTTCCAAAGTCGACGACGCATCGACTGAAAGAACTGCTGATGAAGAACAATGAGGAGGACCACACAATGGTTGCTGCCGAGTAAACAGACAATCGCGTGATACACATTAAGAGTGGTCTGCTTCTGTCGACAGCCGAGTGAACACTGTAAGAAGTTTTTGTAGCTTTTGATATTAACTACAACTCTTTTTAGTAACTAAAATCTGAATCTCTCTGAAATAGAGCTGGCAGAACATGTTATTGTTTTTCAGTGAATGCAATTTACATTCACTGAAAAACAATGGTGGGTTCTTATCGCTCTGATTCATCATACATAAGAGATACAGATTTAAGTTGTTGACAAAAGATGTAGTTAATATTAAAGCCTACAAAAGCTTCACACACTATTTTACAGAATTCTGTTTATGAAAAAAGTTAGAGGCAAATGAATGTAAATGAATGCACGAAATGAATGTAAATGATTTTCCATCCCTGTTTATAACAGAGAAAGGAGAGCAAAATAACTTCCCTTGTTGGCAAGCATCTAGATCGAAATATTTCCCCAGCACCATTGCTGGTTTTTTTTTCGGGAACTTCAGGTGGCAGATCATATACTTGCACATATTGAACAAATAATTGGTCAGGGTAATGCAGCAGTGTATGCAGCGTCAAAAAAATAGGATTTGAGTTAGATGAACAGGAGTTTCTCCTCAGCTATTCTGTATATTACTTCTATCAGGACAGGATCCACGTCCAGCGCCTTAGTGAAATTAATAATATCGCTTAACGACGGCCTTCCAGCACCGTTTCAAAAGTTAACTTTTCACTTCAACACTGCTACTCATCTTCAATGTTTGTAACAAAAGAAACCACACACGACCGAGTTGTGGGTAGACGCAATGCGAGCAACAAACAAAGCCCTGATAAAACATCTGTCGATAGCACTATCGACACCGGGAATCAACATCTGTTGTTCACAGCTTAAAGCGAACTGATTCTCAAACTTATCTAGGAGATCTAATCATGAAGTTCTACAGACCCAACAAAGGTACAAATGTTAGAAATAGTAAACGTTGATTGAGCACCATGATAAATATTTGAAGTGACAAAGTATTTCGAACTCTCCAAATTATTCAGGTGTTGATATTTCAATGTTCTACATAATCAACACGGTGTTTTACGATGTCCTAACAAACTATTTGACCCCGTAGAGCTTTATGGGGCTCCATAATATCATGTTGGATACATAATTACGATGACGAAGTATTTTGGGGTCTCCAAATAATCCTGAAGTTTAGAACAGTGTGCTTTGCATCTCAGAATCTTCAATTTTTTACAATTTAAAAATAACTTGCCTTAAAACCGATCAACCGTAGAAAAGCTTAAATTAAAGTAAATTTTACCCAAATATTCGTTAGCCCGATAGATTTCAGGTCAAACCAGTGAACCATCTTCCTTAATAAAAAAAAAAGAGAATCCAGTGAAACGGAATGAATCTGTTTGCATTCCCCATTCAGGACCTCCCGCCCCCCCACCGGCAAGGTCGTTAATTCAAATTGTTTCGTGATTTATCTTCGTGAGCTGGGACGGTTCGGTCCGTGTTACTAAGCTGCTATATAGTAAGGGGAAAGTTTCGCAAGGTGATACCAGTTAGCGTGTGTTTGCATTGCACAGCCCCGGGGTTGGCTCAAGGTGTGCTGAAACTTTTCGATACTTAAAAAATACATTGAGTGTAGGAAGGGGCGGTGCGAGTGGCGAAAATTTGCACAGCATAAAGCCATTTCGGAAGAATGGAACGCCCGCTGCATTCGCTGACAGTTGCAGCAGCGCGCTCGCAGCTTGACTCGGAACCGGAAGCGGATGGTTCGTTGTTCGACGATTGAGCGAGCGTGTGATAAAAGGTGCATGTTCGACATGAACACGTACTTGTCGGTTGTCATGAGCTGAGCGTGTTACTTGTTGATGGATGTTACGAACGTGGATGTGTGTTTCACATGTGTGCTCGGAAAACATGGAATTGATCTTTAGTTGCACTGGGAGAAAGGGGGGGGTAAAGACTTTAATAATCATTTTTAACAGCGTTCAGTGTTTTAGTGCACCATGGACGTAGATTTCCATTAATTACAGATTTTAGCGAGAGGTAGACAATAGGCAGAAAAAGCGTCCTGTGGACGTATCACTTCAACGTCAGCTGCAATAATTTCCATCGGCCGCTAATATTATTCTCAAATAACGAAATTTATCCCAAACCAAACAACCAATCCGCCTCAATTGATTCCACTTCAATTTTCGGGATGACCACTTTCAGGGGACCAATTATACAACGGCACTCGCCCAAACTAGTTCATTAAATTGATGACAAAATGCGACCAGTCAATTTTTGCGTCATTCAAAACGTGCTGATTGTATAACCGACATTCCTCCCCTCCTCCATCACCACACACACACACACCAAACGACCACCTGACCACAATCAGCCAAATGAAAATGTGACCAAACTGAGCGCGATAATGATCCACTCATCGTTGAACAAAACTCGGTGGCCTTTGCCCCATTCACCGTCAGATCTAATCACCTCAGAACAATGGACCGACTTGATTGTGTTCCGAAAGTCCAACCGAGGCCAACTCTCTCTCTCTCTCTCTCTCTCTCTATCTCTCTCGCTGTGCAACGATAAACAATCAAAAATCAACAAAATGTTCGAACCACCGCTTGCCGCAAACTCGCGTCGGTCTATTCCACTAATCCGGGCTATTTGTTTTAGATGGTGCAATTTCCGAGACCGAATCATGCGTGCGAATGGCCTATTTCGGCCTGCGAAGAGTGCACTGCAAATATTTTCCGCCAAATTTAATGTTCGCAAATATTTGACTCTGATACCCCCCCTCAGCATGGGACCGCGGTTCACCCGGAACAGGCAGACCAGTGCATGAGGTGGGATTTTTTCCTTCGTTCTTGTTGGCAACCGAGAAAATAATCAAATAATCAGAGAAGTGTGTTGCTTCATGTCGAACAATGATGACGAATTTCCTAAAGCACAACGATCGAGAGAGTAGTGAAATTGATAAAGGTTTGCACTCATCAACTAACGTCATTGAGAACCGCAGGTGCAGTCGAGTGCTATTTCGAATTTGGCATGGGACTGGTTCCGAAACAAACATAGCGAACAACGAAACATATTTTAAGTTTTACCTCTCAGAATTCCATGAATATTCGCATAATTGTTCGCTAGGGGCAATGAAGCAAGTTTGAGCTGGAATTTTGCTATTTTGACATGCGCCAAAATGTTTCGAAATGGTGTAATCGTTATTTTTCAATAAATCATAGCCCGAAAACTAAACGACTAATCGAAATGTTGTCTGAGACAAAGGTGTAGGACACTGGATTTCCCTTTCAGAAAAAAAAATTGGTGGGATTGTGTATAAGACACGACCGCATGGTTGACGTCGCCTACGTTAAGCTGGGTAGTGAAATTCTCGTGCATTTTTCTAGATATTGATTTAAAAAATAGTACAAGTAATCTATGATTTTGGTCCTTTGTACATATTTTGGATTTCCTACTTAGTAAATCTCATACAAATGCGAATATATATTCTATTTCATTTGGTTCCTAAATTACAATCAGAAATGAGTAAGGCTTTCTTCAGGTGATTCATTGCATCGTCCAACAATGACTTCAAGATTTCTAGGGCACAAATCTTGGACGGTTGTGACATCACTCATGAAATTGAAACTCCTTGTGTACTGGGCAGCAACAAACGTGAAGTTTCAGTTTCAGTTTAGTGAGAGCTGATATGTGTGCTCTTGAAATTTTATGAGGTAATGAGATTGATCAGAAATAAGGTTTCCATAGCGATCCAACTTCAATGCACAAAAAAAAACCAGAGTGCACAATGTTGTAGTTAACGTTATTCTTTGCGATGTGGTGTAACCATGACACCTTTCTGGCGTTGATCCACTCGAACCAGGACGTTCCAGATATACAAAAATTCCACTACCTGAAGTCATCATTAATTGGAGAAAAGCTGCTCAGGTCGTCGAGTCATTCACGATTAGTGCTGCCAACTATCCACTGGCCTGGCAAGCACTGGTGAGCAGATATGCAAACGAATACCTCCTCAAGAAGCGACACCTGCAGGCGATGTTAGAGATGCAATGGGTGTAGAAGGAGACGACAGCTTCGTTGCACGGCAGCTTGGTGAACCAGTGGACGCTTGGAGCACAATATTGGAGCATTTGCTGTGCGTTCGCCTTCCGGACGATTCTCTCAAGGCGTGGGAAGATCATGCATCAACGACCGAGAACCCAACCTACGATGCTCTCATTGAGTTCCTGCATCGGCGCATCCGTGTACTGGAGTCCATTTCGGTCAATCACGCTCAACCTCCGCCACAGTACGTCACCTCTCATGTTTTTTCCACTCGAAAAACATCCAACATGGAATTTTCGTCCCATGCAGCGGTCGATAGTCCTCCCATCAATTGTTATGCTTGTGAACAGCGCCATCCGTTGGTGAAGTGCATGAAGTTCGAGAAAATGAGTGCAGCTGACCGGCTAACCCTGGTCAACGTGAATCGGCTTTGCTTGAACTGTTTCCGGTCTGATCATTTCTCGAGGAACTGTCCGTCGAGATACACGTGCAGGTTTTGCAAGAGGCGTCATCATTCTCTACTCCATTCTGGATTCGGAGACAATCCAATTACATCCGAATCAAGTAATGAGACGCAGGTGTCTGCCAACGTAAATCTGGCCTCAGCGAGTGACGAGTCAACATCGTCCGTTCTATCAGCAGCCGCATCCACCCAACCAACGCAGACCGACTGCAGTCTACAGCCTCAAGAGATTGAGAGAAACGTTTTCATGCTAACAGCAATCGTTGTGGTCGTTGATCGCTATGGCAAGGAGCACTTGGCACGTGCTCTGTTGGATTGTGGATCCCAACCCAACCTGATTACCGAGAAGATGACTCAATTACTAAGGCTGAAGCGAAGCAAGACGAAATTTCTTGTCCAGGGAATTGGTCCACAACCACAGAACGTGAGGGAGTCCGTTCACGTTCAGATCCGGTCCAGGAAGGAGAACTTTTCCGTGGATGCCGATTTCCTGATTCTTCCGAAGGTCACTCCTGAAATACCCGTCCACAATGTTCCAGTAGATCATTCTAACCTTCCACCGAAGCTCTTCCTGGCTGATCCCCAGTTCCATAAGCGTGCGCCAATAGACATGATTCTGGGGATTAAACATTTCTTCTCATTCTTCCAATCGGCGAACAGGATCAACTTGTCTGAATCGCTTCCCACGCTGATCGACAGCGTTTTCGGGTGGTTAGTGTCTGGCTCAGCAAGCAAAGAACCTACTGTAAGTCAGGATCCTCCACGCTCCATTGTAGCGGTATACCTGTTCAATCTGGAAGAGAGCATCGAGCGATTTTGGAAGGTTGAAGAGTTGCCGGTCCGGTCCGATTATTCATTAGAGCAGTGCGAAGAACTGTTTTCGTCTACCCCTTCGAAAGATCCCGAGGGGCGATACATGGTACACCTGCCTCGTCAATCCAATTTTGACGAGCTGATCGGCTACTCCAAGTCAATGGCACTCAACCGATTCAATCTACTCGAACGAAGACTCGAGCGTAATCCTGAACTGATGGAAGAATATCACAAGTTTATGGCAGAATATCTCTCCCTTGGTCATATGCGTCGTGTTCAAGACAGCAGCAAGAACCAGTCTAAAGGATACTATCTCCCACATGGTGAAGGAAGCCAGCACGACGACAAAGGTACGTGTAGTCTTCGATGCGTCGGCCAAAACCTCTACAGGCTTTTCTCTAAACGAAGCTATGTTAGTAGGTCCCGTGGTACAGAATGATCTCCTGGTGTTAGTATGCGTGGGCAAGCTATCAGTTACGCCAAACCGACGATAAAATGCGTTGATTACAAATGCTGATATCTCGCGTCACTTTTCAAATAGACCTATGAAGAACCAATGAGAAAATCGAAGTTGAAGGTCGACAGTTTAGAAACAATACATTTTGCAATACTATTTATAAATAATGTTGCACATTCAGTATAAATGGTAAAATCACAATTTACTTTGAATTTAATGCTACCATATAGAAAAAAAAACACATAGGACGTTTTTTTTCCTTGATTTGTTTTCCGTCGATCTTGTTTTCCGTGCTGAGCACCAATGCTACCGACGCCAGGGAGGCAGCTCCTACACCTGGATCCTACCTATCGACCCATCATGAGTTGAACAACTCATGAACCGGGGACCAACGGCTTTACTTCCCTTCCGAAGGAAGGCGTGATCAGAGATGTAATGCCTCAGAACATCCCGGTGGCGCCGACTGGGATTGAACCCAGGCCTGCTGGGGTGAGAGGTAATCACGCTTACCACTACACCACCGGCACCGCTATAGGACGTTTTGATTGGTCAAGTTGTACATCGGACATGTTACAAAGGACGATTTTTCTCAATGACATAATCAATGACTGTTACATTGGACGTTTTGTTCTAAATGATACTAGATTCCCTTTCACAGATTTCAGAGTAGAGTACTTATCTTTAGATTGGCCCCGCCTTTAGAAAAAGAGCACCAATCATGTTAGGTAAGTTGTAACAATCATGTACCCATAATTTCAAACGGTACATTGGACAATGTTTGACCTATGGTTATCTTAAATAAATGAAAGTAAAGCTGGATGGGTGTTTTTGCATCATATACAATGATAGAAGAGCAAAAGTTTGTTTCACTTAACCTCGAATTGTTTACATAAGTTACTTAGGACCATTTGAAAAGTGACGCGAGATATGTCCTTTCGAAAAAGTAATCGATATTTGTAGGACGCGAGATCGTTATCACTCAGGCACAGTCGTTATCAGCAGTCACAGTGATCGCGACAGGAACGATGTGCAAGGTCTAGTACAAACATCGAACGCTGCGTGCTTGACAGGAACCGCTGCCTTCCTACTGCTACTGCTGTTCCCTTCTCACCCGCCGTCCGAGGCAAAAATGAGATGAGGCACAAAAGCAGCGCTGTTTTATAACTTTTAAATGTGCAACCAAATGGTACTCGACTGGGTTGAAAATATTGATAAAATTATCACTTTTTATTTGTACAGTTTTGAACAGTTTTTTTTGTAAAATTGGAAAAGCATTTATTTTAGCTGATTTTGAGAGTTATTTCCTATAGCTTGGTGTATTTGGATTTTAATTTCATCTATAAATGACAAAGTTATAAGCGTTCAAAACCTTACACCTTTTTGTGACGGTCGCAATTTTAGATTTTCGATTTTCCCTTTCCGTAAGACGTAGCCTATGTCAAAAATAAGCACTCCAATCAATTCTCGGTATAGGGTTTTTGATCTAATTTTCATCCCACTAAGCACAACCCACGCTTTACCTCTCTTTCTTAAACGGGTTTTAACAATATATGAAATGTTTCTATCAAAGATGACTTCTGTATTCCCCTTTTCCTAAGTATCGTTTGATTTGTTACAGAGCCGCACATTGTTGAGATATTGTTAAAAATTCAACAGTGCTTCTTGATTCCAAATTTATTCTACGAGTTTCAATACCTACGGATAAAGGTAGAAAAAGCGAGTTCGCTAAGAGCGTTTCTTTTGTTTTGAGAACAATGAGCGTAAATATTCATATAATACGCTCTAATAGGCATTGGTACAAACGTATCACTGATTTGTGCACGGTAAAATCATTAATTATACTGATGTTTTCTGCTCGATAGAACGGAAATGGACGATTACGACGAATCTATCGAGTGAGCAAACTAATTGGCTAAATATTACTTTTTTAAGATTACGTACGTTTTGTTGACATGCGTTTCTGTGGTGCAAAAGGTGATTTCCCTAACACAGATTACAGATTGCAGTACCTAGCACTGAAAAAACCGGACGGTACAAAACATGCTTTGACGGTTTTATGTACTGAGAGGGTGAACCAGCCGATGGATGAAAGCCTTGTAAATAAAGGGGGAAAAATTACTTAGAGTGCCTCGAAAAAAATTGCTCGAATGTTCCTTGAACATCTATAGCTGATTGCATCTGAAACTGGACTGTCCTAGAAATGCAAAAAAGTGTGATAAAAGTGCACGTTTCAGTTTTATCACACTTTTTAATAAGTGAAAACGTGCTTGTTAGTCCAATTTGGTGTGAAACGCATAATACAAAGTTCCCTAATCCTTATTTCTGGTAATTTTTCTCAATTTCTATGAAGTTTCATCAATTTGGTCCATAATATTTTTTCCAAGTTCTTTCAACTCGACCAAGATCTCAGAACATCCATAACCTTCCACAAACATCCTAAAAGACCTTGATTTTTCTAAATATCTGGGAGAAGCTATGTTCCAAAAATTGCCGAATCAAACTCTGAAGCTTTATGAAGTATGCTCAATTTGTACAATACTCCCTCAGATTCTTCAAAATTTCTTGAACTTCTACGAAGTATACGGAGCTTCCTCAATTTTGGCTAAACTCCTACGAAGTTCCTTGAACTTTAAAAAAATTTCAACACTTCTATGAAGTTTTACGGGTTTCCTCGAATTGCTGTGAAGTTTGCTTGATTTCTGGGGATTTTTTTTTACTATCGGACAAAATGGTGAGCATGCTTGGCATGCACAGTTGTACACACCAACTGCTCATTTGGTAATAACTTTTCACTCAGATGTTGAAATTTATTTTTCTTTAAAGTAATTGATAGATTAGGCTCATATATATGCGAAGATTAGGTTAAGATTTACATTTGAATCAACAATAATCAATTTAACACTTCAATTCCGAGATGTGTGGTGAGCATTTCCTCCTCATTTTTACAACGCAAAAACAAATACAGTTTACTACTAGCATTAAAATCTACTTTTTGTTAGATATCTATAACAAGCTTACACTCTATTCTATCAACTGCCTCAAAAAGAACTATGTTCCGTCAACTGTGTGCAAAGTTATTAGCAAATGAGCAGTTCGTGACCAAAACTGTGTATGCCAAGCATGATGGTGAGAACCTTCGGACATGGCCCAAGCAACAGACATCCATCAAAATAGGTTGCTGCAACTTGATTGTGACTGAAATAAGGTGCATAAAAGTAACCACAACAGTTAAATGACAAGTGTGCTGCTAGGGGGTGACAATGCTATGAAATGTAGTGCTGGCATACCAAAACTACCGCCTCATGCAGTATTCCAACGGCTGTCGCTTTATTTTTCCTACGACAGCCTTGAGATTGAGCTATAAGCGATAGCCCACAGTGAGGCTGTCATACGTTGCCGTCTTGTGCAGTACACGACAGCTCGTTCTTGTTCATTCGGCTATGACAGTCTCAGATGGTCATTCGTAACGCTCCTTGTTCATACAACAATCAGTCTGTCAAACAACCGATTTGTTGCTGCTGTCTTTGAAATTTTGTTCGTATGTCGTGAGACTGCTAATACACTACCAGTGTGACGCTGAAGCTCGTTCGGTTGCTATCAAGTTCGTGCTGCCCATTGCAACATTTTGATCCTATATATTTTTTTCTAAACGTGCGGTTTTGAGCAGATCAGACATTCCGACATTCCAGCAAAAAATGTAAGCCTACCTGACACCAACCTGGCTTCTACCAAAACCCAACATGATGTTGGCCCGAAATTGACCCTATATAAACGAAGAATTGATCCGACATCGACCTGAAATTTGGCCGACGTCGATCATAAATTGACCTAACATTTATCCGACATCGGACCGACATATCTGTTCGGGATCATTTTTCTGGGTTTCTTCCATACTCCACTGCCGTATATCAATTGTATATGTGGAGTATATCGTGACAGCCTTTTCAAGACAGCCACTTGGGTAAGCTGAGGGATGTCGTCGGAAGGCTGTCATGACGACAGAAACATTGAAAACCTGGTCATTAAGAAATGTATAAATACAGCCCATTCGGTCCACGACGTTCCAAGCACGGTGATTTTCGCAAAGCGGATATAGACGCTTTTATTTGTTCTAACGTGTGCTGTTGCCAATACACTTCGAATTCAGATCTGAACGTACGGTAGCAAGCGGTAGTAAAGCACACATAGCAACAGTCAATTCATGTATAAACCAACTGTCGCAAGAAGGCTGTACTATTTGGAAGCCTGATGTAGTGTTTATGATAATATGAATGGTAAAATTTTAGTTGAAGTTTATGGGATTCCCCGGACGGTATTTTCAAAATTCATAATAGATGAACAAGCATCGTAGAATAAATATTCTGTAGTGAAATGAAAACCTCAGCAACTCATATAACATATAGTCTAAAAAATGTTTCCCACGAAAATGTTCACGATGGAGAAAAATCACAACGAAAAGCAGGAAAATCTACCCAGGAATTAAGAAACAGCTGATCCTGGTAATTCCTGGAAATCTGGAAATACTTTTATTCAGAGAACAAATAGGTCCATCAATATGTTCAATTTTAGTCTTCCTGAAGCTTATTTAATCTTCCCTTAGAAGTTTCTTCCTACTTTCCCCTTAAATTTTCTTCTCCCTTAATCCGTAAGATATTGTACGATTCTTCCTGGAAAGTTATTTCGACATCCCTAGAAAGCTTCTTCTGACTTCTCTCGAAAGGTTATTCCGTCTTCTTCTGCCGGAACATGAGAGATGCTTCCAGAGTTTCATTGTAGTTCTATTAGCTTAAGGAAAAATGCAGGATCTTTTAAGAAGTTCCGTAGCTGCATAAAAGCCTAGAAATTTGAACAGTTCCATTTACTTCTGTTAATACTCGAGATCCCGGAAATTTGAGGTAAATACAGAGAACACCAATGAACTTAAGGAAACACAAGAAATATTTCAGAAACATCACACGTCCAAAGAACTTCAGGGAATTTCAATGGATTTCAGGGCAGTTCCATTTGAATCAGGAGAATTGAGAAAACTTTAGAGAAGCTCTGAGGACATCAGGACCGATCAATTACTTTCATGGAAATTTCTGAATCTTTTTAAGGAGTTCCGAGAAATTCAGGGAGTTTCTGAAAACTTCAGCAAGTGTCAGAGATATTGAACATCGAAAAATTCTGCGATAATTTTAAGGGAAGTTCTGCGCTTTTAATGGCAGTTTTAAGATCTTTTAAAAGCTTTGAAAATCTGGAAGAACTGATCAATGCTGATGTTCAATTCATTTCAAGAAGTTCCAAAATCTTCAAGAAAGCTTAGAGACTTTCAAAGAAGATTAGATATTTTCCGTTAGTTTCATTTTAATCGGGGACGTTTCGAGTTCTTTGAGTATGATCAGAGGTTAGGTTAGGTTATTAGCGAGAATTTCAGCCAGAGGCTGGTACATCTCTTGAGTATGATCAGAGAACTTCATAACATTCCTATTGAATTCAGGAAAATTGCAAGAACTTTCAAGAAGGTCCGAGAAATTATGGAATGTTCCGAAGTGCATTTCAGGAATGTTTGATGTCATCAAGGATATTTTATGAAAATAACTGGATAACTTGAACGTGTAAGGAACTTCATGGAATATTGTTCCATCATTCCGAAGAAATCCCTTTCTTCAGTATTTTTTTCCCAACCAAAAAGCTGTTTTTTCGACTGTTCCGCAAGCCTTGTGGCTTCAGACTTTCTCCAGCGGTTTCCTCCTCTCTATCTGAAGAAGTTTCTTCGCGCGTCTTCAGGAAGTTTACTCCGTCTTCTCCAGGAAGTTATATTAGGGTTCTAGCGGATGTATCTATCGAATTCTCCCAGATGATTTATTCTTCTTCCATAAACCATTCTCCGTTGGTTTTTTATCTCGACTTCTTTTGAAAGGTTTTTCCTAGCTTCTTCTGGCTTCCAATGGATTTCCGAAACTTTTATGGTTTCTTTTGGATATGTCATTGGATTTTTTTCCGAAAGCTTCTTTAAATTTTCGCCAAAAGTTTCCCGTTATATTTCTAGGAAATTCCTCGGATGTTTTCCGACTTCCTTCAATCTTCCTTCAGAAGACCTTCTTTATTCTCTCTGTGGAAGGTTTTCAGCTTCCGTCAGAAGCTTATTCAAACATTCCCCAGAAAGTAAACTTTCCCTTCTTAGTCCGAAATTTGCATTTTCCCCCTGAAAGACGACTAAAATATAAATTTAATTAAAATAGTAAATACCAATAATTAGACCTTTTTTTAAAACATGTAATACCGATAAGCTTGAACCTGGACTATGCTCGTAGAGGACCAACGCGCCCTTGGTGTTGCGAACCATCTACGGTGGAGTGCAGATGGATGACGGAGCGTGGATGAGGCGGATGAACCACGAATTTCACCAGCTGCTGGGAGAACCATCCATCGTCCATATTGCAAAAAATAGGCGACTACGGTGGACTGGGCACGTCGTAAGAATGCCGCACGACGACCCAGTGGAAATGGTTCTCGAAAGTGACCCAACAGGAATAAGAGGCGGCAACGGGGAAGTTGGATCGACCAAGTAGAAACCGACCTGCCAACCCTTCGCAGACTACGAGGCTGTCGAAGTGTGGCCATGGATCGAGTAGAGTGGAGACGACTCCTTTGTACAGCAGAAGACATCAAGGCCTTAGTCAGGTCAATTTCAGTTCCACCCCTTTTCTTCAGTATGTACTTCAAAATTGACCAGTATTCCTCAATTGGGTTCTTTAATTTTGAAAAATAAAAAATTTGCTGGTTCATGATCCCAGAAGTAACGAAAGTATCGCTTTTCAGCCCACAACTGTTTGCCAGATTGCTTGCCAGACAAGGAACTTTTTGGGAAATTTCGAGTTCTTTTTGAATTTACATTCTTCCGAGGCACTCTTCCGGTCAACCGAGGTATCACAATATGAACGAAAACTGACAAATTCAATAGTTTTGCTAACTCTCGAGAGGATAGACCGGGATTTTCGTTTCGAGCGCGCAGGATCGAATCGCGATGGGCTTGCTCCGGTGAAGCCATGATGTAAATAAATGAACGTATCCTGACTATTGTTGTCTATTGTAATTATATACCCTCTTAGATTAGTAGAGTGAAATTTTGTAAAACACACTCAAAAAACTATAAGGGACAGCCCTATGAGGTTGTACGCAATGGTGACGTAGGGCTACGTGGTCTTATATAATAAATGTCATGTGTTAACTGCAGCAGGAGCTTGTGCTTTGTGTAGGAATAGGAATTTGAGCGAGGTTCTCTCTGTTTATTTTCTTTAGTATGACTATTATTACCCTGAAAAGAACCTATTGATATGAATTTTAGTTGGGACATGTTCAGAAATATAACTCGTTTGGAAAATCTTGGTGGCCCTGAAAAGGCTTAAAGACCTCGGCCCGTCTGCTGCTGGACAGGGGTTGAACTAGTGTCTGCGACAGGTTGGAAGGCCACAACGAGGGAAACCTCAATCTTGCTACGATGAATGGGTACTCGGAAGACGGCGCAACTGCTACTGGACACGGGTTGACTAGGTGGCTCGACGGCTTGGAAGGACGCAGTGAAGGATACCTCAAAGACGAATGGGCACTTGGAAGAGTATTGGCCTGGCTACTGCTGGACACGGGTTGACCCGGTCATTGTAAAGGCGCAGAGAAGGATACCTCAACTTCGCTGAGAAATGAGCAGTCAGAAGAGTCTCGGTCCGGTTGCTTCAGGATTGGAAGCTTGGTTTCTACCGTTTTTCTGGTTCCTTTTGTTGATCGTCGCGATGATTCTACTTCCACACGGGGGTAGTTGCTTTGTTGCTTATGTGACTAGATGAGATCATCAGATGATCAGACCAGAGATACGTTTGACACCGCCACGGCGAGCCATACGACCGATGGCGGGCTTGGTAATACCCTATATATTATCACGAAGAACCTTGCGATGACGCTTGGCGCCTACTTTACCAAGACCTGTTCCTCCTTTGCCACGACCAGTCATTGTTGCTTGTCAGGTCGAAGAGTGAACTACCTAGCCTGCCACCACCTTCCTACTACTGCTATTGCTGCTTTAGCTCGTCGTCCGAAGCGAACATAAGTTGAGGCTGGAAAGCAGTGCTCTTTTATATCTTTTCAGGTTAAAACAGAATGATGTGCAACCAAGTGGTACTCGATTATGACGACCGGGTTTGGGAAGAACGTTTTTTTTTTCACGAAAACAGTGATAAAATTACCATTTTTTATTTGTACGTTGAACAATGCCTAACATTTATCACTTTTTCAATAGTTTCTTGTTGAAAATCAACTGTCAAAAGCAATGCTTTTGATGCATAGAGATATGTATGATCGATGGGTGATACAATTATTGAAATTGGTCAAGGGGCAGCTGAGCTATTCACGTTCAAAATCTTTCATAATTATGTTACATGTTCCATTTTTGGTTTTCACAAAGTGTACCCGCATATACAAATCACAGACGTAGTCATTTGTCGAAATGCCTTAATGGCAATGGCGTTGTTAATGCATTCGGATTTTTTCGTGTGCAACCTTTAGAAAGTAAAGAAATCAAAAATCGCGTGTGGTCAAAAACTGGAAGGCACTGAATGTACACGGGACTTGAAAACAAATTGTACAACATAATCCTCTCCTCTCCACACAATCGAACAAACCTCTAACAAACAGCTTCCATAATGCAACATTGCTCATGGGATACATCTGGACATTCCCGGACCCACAGCCAATCCATTTCCATAATGCAACACTGGCCTCAATAGTGCTGCATAATAGCTTCCGACGGATTCAGCAAAAACGCCCCTCAGTCGCCCTCGCAGGGCACAGCTAATTTAAATCAACCAAATCGCAAACCACAATCGGTCCCACACGAGTACCGTTGACCCTCCACAGGCAGTCCCGTTTCCGTAGTTTATCGGTCGTTTTCATTACGATTCAACGTGACCAATTTGGTATAAATGTACGTAGGAATAACGACGACGACGATGACATTTGGGGACTAACTAGGGCACCAGGGAACCCTCCAGAGGTCGCTCTTTTTAATAGCTGCCGCTCATTTTCCATGTGGTCTGGAATCAACACAGCACTGAAGGGCAGCTGTGTGGCCCAGAAACGCCGTTAATGGAAATATAGCTCCCAACAGATGACGATTTGCAACCACGCGCCACACTTTCCATCGATGAGAATGATGGCGATGACGACGGCGATGGTGATGGTGGTGATGATGATGATGATAATGTCGAATGTGACCAGCTCTCCGGTAGGATGCGAACGGTCCGGCAGTTTGCAAATGTTGCCCCCGGTGCTGATCGTTGGGATTGCTTTTGGCAGGATTTGACCGATAATTTCGGGATAAATTATGAGCTTTTCGCTGAGCACCGTGGTGCATTCTGCTGCACCAATCTCTGACTGCACGGCATGGGTACCTGATTGAGGTGGGGGCTGCAGGGCAAGGCGGATGGAATGGGTTTGAGTGGAAGTTATGCCGCACGTGGGACTGTTTTACGTTGCGTTAGAGAGATATGGTAAACGAATTAATGCGTTCGTTTTATGGAGCTGACTTTATTGATGGTTGGGATGCTTTTTATCGGAGAATATTTAATGTACTCTTAGGGGAAAAGCAGGATCATTAACCAATGCTTTTCAATGGCGGAAGGATTTTAATATGCTGTCGAATTGATGAGTTCAATATAATTCGACGGTAGCTTTTAATTGAAAATCAATCATTTAATAATGTTGTTTAGAAGGATTTAGCATTATTCAGCATTTTTTAGCATTCGCTGTTTAGCGAACGTATTGTGATATTGATTTAAAACACAATTTAAGCAACCTATTATTTCGGTCCTATGTACATATTTTGGATTTCATACTTAGTAAAACTTGGTAAAATTTAAGAACCCATAAAAATGCGAATGCATTACATTAGTTCCTAAATTCCAATCAGATATGCATTTTAGAATAGGAACATATGACGAAATATGTACAAGCTAATTTTTTTATTTATGAAGGGTGGAAATTATCGATTATCATATTCTTCAGCATTATTGTTGTGGGATAAAACAATTCCCAAAAAAATACGTTAATTTTCTCCAGTAGCTCCACCATTAGTTTTAAATTAGGGCTCTGAAGGGTGGGTGCTTAACTCACCTCGTATGCTCATTATGCCCCTTCCTCTCATATTAACAGAATACTGTGACTTTTCTCAAATCGAAAATTCGAAACCATAAGTATGTGTTTAGTATGACATTAATTGAAGATTAGGGGGATTCAGTTATTCAACTTCAGAATCAGAGCAAAAGCTCGTATACATTTTCTTCATTTGAATGTTAAAGGCTTGTAAAAAATTAATTTGAATTTCCTGGCTCGCGTTAAAGGACCTTCTCTAGCGTCCAAACCAATAGATGGTGTCTAGACTGATGCAAAATTTGAAAATTTCACTCCACTCAAACGGTTCCAAATTGGGCCCTGATTAGCCTCCCGAAATTTGAACTAATTTTGAAAGAAACTGACTTGGCACAAACCATTTGAAGTTTATATGGGAATTACTATGGAGAAACCATAATTTCGGTTCATATCCATCTCAAAATTCACCAGTCCACTCTACTTTAGAAAATGATAGCTATGCTTATTGAAAATATTCTCAGCTACAACTTTGTTAAAGACCACTTTTTGATCAAATGTAAGGAACAAAAATTATTAATAATTCAAGTCACTGATGTCTTATGATTATGCTCAATCAACTGTTCAGCAGGCAACATTGGTGTTTATGGCGCGTAGAATAGAGGACAAAAATCACGGCTACTATGTCACACTGCAGAATGCAGTGTTGCCCACAATACAGTTTCTTAATCTTGCCATAAGATTATCAATCTCTTAAACAAATAATAACTATTTAATTTGACGTTTGGCTGACAAACGATTTTCTGCAAAGTTGTAGCTGATAAAAATTCTCATAAGAATAGCAATAGAATTTGTTAACAGTACAATATGTAAAAAGGCTAGAAGACAATGAACAAAAAGTTTTGTTTTTCCACAGTAATTTCCATACAAACTTCAAATGGTTTGTGCCAAGTCAGTTTCTCACTAAATGAGTTCAAGTTTTGGGAGGCTAATCAGGGCCCAAATTGGAACCGTTTGAGCACTGTGGAGCGAAAATTTCAAATTTGCATCAGTCTATTGGTTACCCATTACCTCTGACTGTTTGAATGCTTTTAGATTAGCATTGAAAATACCTCTTACATGAAAAATTATGCTATGATGGAGTATAACCATTGGAAAAAAAATTCCAGGATATTGCGATAGTGTTCGCGGTGTTTGATGAAGCATCGCCCGCCCCAGCATGGGTAAACCGCCGCGTGTTGATGCAACTGCTATTCCGGCTGGGAAACGATCCCGATCGGACACCGGCAGTGCACAATTGACATCGAAGAAGCTGTTGGCCAACAACCGTTACGCCATCCTAGAAAACGACGGTGAACCGCCGTTCTTCGTAAAAGGATTCCCGGAAGGCTTGCGGGATAAAATCAACTTTTACATCGGTAAAAGTTGAGGCGACAAAGCTGCTTAAGGTGGTCTTGTCTGGCTTTTCCGACATGGAAACAGTCACACTGTCAGATGAATTGAAGCAACATGGACTCAAGCCAATCAACATCTTCAAGACGTCATGACGTTTCACGTAGGTACCGCGACTAGCTGTATGTGGTCCACTTGGAAAGAAATTCAACATTCTTGAAGGACCTCCAGAGCATTCGGGCCCTTTTCCGCATCGTGGTGATTTGGGGACAGTACAGTCCACCGTGATGTCACCCAATGCGCAAACTGCCCGAACAGGCATGGAACGAGAAACTGCCACATGACCTACCACTGCAACAATTGTGGCAAGCAGCACCCACCTGATGCCTGTGATGTAATGGAGGGCGCAGCACATCGGGCAAGACATGCCCGAAGCGAGTAGAATTAATTAATATCCGCAAAAAAGTCTCACGCAGAATCAACCTGGCCACAGAAGAGTGCCAGAAAATAACGGGCAAAACATTCCTGTCATCCCGCAACGGTGTCAAATTCCGGTGTTTCCGCTACTTCCACTCAACAACCGTTTTGCTGCTGCTGCATCGGTCGTGCCAACAGCTGGGGTGCCTAACACTCCGGAAAACTCAAGACGTCAGTCATATGCGGCAACCGCTGCATCCCAAAGCACCTCTCCACCTCCAGGGCTATCGTTATCGTGGAAGCATGAAGGTGTCCCCTCCCCTTCACCAACGATCGAGAACGTAGACTCGTAGACTCGTGACAGAAGTCATCATGATCCAGCACACCTACAGGACCCGAACAGAACAGCGTCATGCTGCAGTATCCCTCATCAATAAATATGGACCGTGAAGCCAACAAAATTACCATTGAATTCCTCAACGAACAAAACATCGATATCATCATCATAACCGAGACGCACCTGAAGCCCGAGATTAACGTCTTCCTTCCCCCAAACAAATCATGCTGACGGGTCAGCAGCAGACCTGCGACGAGACATTAACAAGCTAACAGAATCGCTGGCGACCTGAACGCCAAATATCACAGGTACATTGCAGGTCACTGCAAGAAGCGCAGTACAACTTATTGAGCCCGGACACTCCCGGACTACCCGATTGAGAAGGTTCGGTCATCATGCTACCATCGACATCTACAGGGTACCTGACGAATTTTTGCAGTAAATGGCATATTTGAGAAAAAATACACCAGTTGGTTATTCTAGCAATGAATTTTGTGCGATTTATTTTCTTTCGCAACATATGGAAGTTGTAAGTAAATTTATTCAAAAAAAATTGCCTTACCTTTCGACGACTGTAGTTAGACGCTTCCGGAAACTGCAGTATGCACGTTTTAAAATGTTTCGATCCATAGATGTCATCACTGCCTTGATTTTAGCTTTTAGCGACTTAAGTGTGGTGTGAGGGGTTCTATTGGTATCCCGTTGGACGACGCCCTATACAAAATAATCCAACGGATTGATATCGGGACTGCTTGGGGGCCAAATTTCTTCCTCCCAAATTTATGAAATATTTTCCGTAAGCCATTTCTGTGCTTTATTAGCAGTATGAGCAGGTGCTCCGTCTTATCACTTTCCCAAGCCTTTTTTAATATTATTCACTGTTCTTTCAGACACATTTACCGACCGAATTATTTCTTTCATGCATACTCCGGCACGCAACAAAGCGACAACGGCTGACAGATTGCTCTCTTGTTTCGACATATTTACGTTTACTCAACATTGTTTGTTTAAATCTTACACCTAACAGTATAAGCTATCCAGTGCTGCCAAATATATCTAAATCATGATGCACAAGCATGAGAAATTACTATTTGAAATTTACTGCAAAAATTCGTCACGCACCCTGTACATAAATATTGACAACATTAATGACAACACGCTAAAGCGCTCGATACACGGGTCAATATATTGATAGTAAATTGACATACTGACAATATTATTCTAAAGGTAATATTGATATAGATGGATTGATGACGAGTATTGTTGAACTGATCTTCATTTAATTTTGTGAATATTCTTCCCCTACCCAAGAGGAGGGAGAACGTACGTCATTTAGATCGACTGACTCACAAAGCACCTTCACGCATGCAGCGATGCATGCAGTGTTGCCATTTGTTTAAATCTTCGTGTGTGATATAAAATCGAATTCAAACTAAATACAAAATATACCTTTTTACAGCCACCAATCATCCAGGCTACTTTTATATGGATGTACATTTTCTACAAAATCCCAAGCATAGTCATGTTATTTTTTTACTTTAAAATAAAATAAATACTATCAGCGTTTCGCATACCTACACGTACCGTAAAATAATTATTATATGCATAATTTTAATTTATGAATGTTTACGAAAACATCAGCATGATAGATTCTATTTGGGCAACTGCGTACCGTGAACGTGGGTTATTTCACACTTGTAGTAATTCCGCGCACTCGACAATCGTTTTGATTAAATTCGATCAATTATGAAGTACATGTCATGTTATCTGTTGTTGTGTATTTTCTGTGTTCTATCAAAAAGTTACAACATTTGGAATACCAATTTCAATTTCAGAATAATCCACGTTCACGGTAC